AAATGTTTGATCATTAGCAAGCATTTTTACCTATTAGGCATCAGTGCATTCATAAGTTTTAAGGCCAACAGTTCAGGGTCAACTGAGGCTGCCGGGTTGGACTCAGTCGTGCAACATTTGTTAGGTATTTATTTTGGCTGAATTTGCACCTTTTATATACAATCTCAAGAACCTTGAGCCTTATAGATAGCCACTTTTGCTAAGTCCATGAATTTCAGCCATGTCAGGAAAATAAAATTGTCTTAGCTTCACCTTTCATACTCCCTTGGCCTGCAAATGAAGCAGTTTTCCTGATGCTGGGTTGTGTGTAAAAGAAACCCAGAAATATTTCAGTTGTCACTTATGTAAGTGCTTTTTAATAATAAAAAAAAAAGAAACAAAACATTAAGCCCACTGCTTTGGGCGCTGACTAAACTAACATCTGTTTTAGCAACCACAACAACAGCACAGGAATACTAGTTACGGCACAGGAATACTAGTTACATGCTGCTGTGGCACTGACTTCCTTTAGGAAGATATAAATTAAATCACTCACCTTGGTGCCCTAGTGAATAGATAAGAAGCTGGTTGCTTTGCAAAAGGAGAGGTGTTTATATATCTTTGTGGAACTTGGTCATTCTGCAGGGAGCTGAGAGAAGAGTTCGCCTGCTTTTTGGATGTGCAAACAATACAAGTCATGTCAGTCCCACATAATATCCTGATTAGAAGATACATGTAAGGACCCTGGTGGGGGCAGGTTGTGATTTGGTGCAAGGTGACTGCAAAGTGCCAACCTGGACAAAATGGCCTGGGACAGGCTGCTGTCTCCTCCCATTCTGTGATAGCCTGGCCCACTGATTTTGCCAATTTCTGGCGATTTAAAGAGTTGGCAATTATTTTAGTGTTGGCAGAAAGATCCTCTCAGCCTCTCTGTTTGATGGTCCTATTTCCCAGACTGTTAATCTCTCCTCTCCTCTCCCCTTCCCTCCCCTCCCCTCCCCCTCCTTGGATGCACACACTCTTTGGATCTCCTTGAAATTGTGCACTTCTTTCTACAATTGTGCCTCTTTCAACTGGATTCGCTAATCCAGAATGCTTAACCCCAAAGATTCAATCGTTTGAAACAGCCCCCATTATCCAGGAGCAGGAACAATGGACACGTTGGTCACTCACTGAGGCTTGTGTAGTGAGGGCATATACACTCTCTCAAGTTCTTATTTAGAGACGAGAATTCTTATTTTATATACAAATTATACAGCCTAGTTGTCTGATATCTGGGAACCTAGAAGCTGAAGCTGTCAAATTAGAAAGGGGCAGGGGATCTAGGATGGAAGACACATCTATAATACCAAGAAGTGAGAGGCCAGAGAAAGCAAAACCATAAACTTCAATAAACATAGTGATCAGAAGACCACTCTAGGGGCAAACAGCCTCAGAAATAGCGGGTTTCATAGAGATTTGGCAAAGTTTAGTTCATGATAACAATGACGGAGAATAAAATGTAAACATTGTAAAATACATCATCACATCCATTTTGTGTACAAAGGGTTCCATAGGAAGAAAACCTAGGAGTAGGTGTGGGATGAGCTCCATTTGCATGTGTTTGTTCAGTTCCCTTGTTTAATGATCTCACTCCAGTACTGCCCTGACCTGTGAAAGCAGTGAGTTGGCCCACCCTCCCATCCAGAACTGACTTGCAATAACGCAGTCCTTTAGATACATGCTTGTTTCTTTTTCACCTCCCCTTCCCCCAACTAATAGTTTTCTTTATCTTGTGTTCACTTTATTATTTTTGTCTTATTCTTTGGAGGCATTTACTCTGTTGCTCTTCTCTAACACCTTGAGTTCTATGCTAGCTAACTGACTTACAACTTTGCTTCTGTCCTAATATAAACATTTAAGGATCTACATTTTCCCCTAAGAACCACTTTAGCTGCATTTCACAAGTTTGGTTATGTGACGTCTTCATAATTGACTAGTTTTCAGTATTTCCTAATTTCTATTATGATGTTACTTTGACATATAAAGGATTTAGATGTATGTTTGAAATTTCCAAACATATGAGATTTTCAAAATGATTTGTAACTAACTTGATTTGCTATAGATTTTTAATGGACTCTTTTGGTTATAGAATATGGTCCATATGATATTAATTTTTTTGGAAATTTGTTGAGATTTGGCTTATGGCCTAGTACATAAGGCTACTCCTTATAAATGTTCAAAGTATGCTTGAAAAGTTACAGGTATTCTCTGTAGGAGGCAGGTTTCTTATAAGCAGTGAGCCCTCCAATAGCACTGCTGGCCATCTCGTAAGTTGGTTGTAATGTGGTTGGTGATTAGCTCCTGCCATCGACCTATCCCCCACTCTCCAAAGGAGAAAGGCCAGAGTTCTTATTTTCTACTATGGGTAGGGATGGGTGGTGGAGAGGAACTGACTAATCAGTGTGATGTGTAGCTATATTTCATTATCTTTACTTTTGATACAGTAGAGACTGAAGGGAAAGATTTCATTGAATTTCACTGAATTTAAGATGCATCTGTTGTAAGATGCCTCATTATTTTATGAGCCATTAGGGAAAAACACTGCCAATTAAATTATGACACATTAATGATTATCATTCGATTTCAGAGATGTTAAAATGTGAACAAAGTGTGTCTTAGAATTTAACCCCCATTTCATTCAACCAAAAAGTTTTAGACCCTACCTAGAATGTTTTGCTGTAGCTTTATGGTATGTCCACTAGATCATGTTTAATTGTGTTATTTGAATCATTTATATTTTATTAATTCTTTTGGCTGCTTGGTCTATTAATTACTGAGAAAACTGTACTTAAGTCTCCTCCTGTTTTAGTAGATTTATCAATTTCTCTTTATAATTTTGTCAATTTTTGCTTCATATATGCTGAGGATATGTCATTAAGTGTAGAGTAGAATTATACCTTCTAGGTTAACTGTTCTTTTCAACATTATATAATAGTCCTCATTTTGTCAATAATGTTTTTTTCCCCCACAAAGTATATTTTATTTGATATTAATATAGCTACACTAGTTTTCTTTTGGTATTTGCCTGAGGTAATGATATTTCTCATACTTTTATTTTCAAACTTTCTATGTCTTTATATTTTTTGAATGTATATTTTATTATAAATAGCATATAGCGTTGTGTGTGTCTATGTGTGTGTTTTTTAACACAATCTGTCAATCTGTGTTTTTTTAACTGCTGAGTTTGGTCCATGACATTTATCTTGGTTATGGATTGTATGAATTTAACTTTATTTCTAAAAATAAATATTACTATCTTATTATGTGCTTATTGCAGAGTTTTCTAAGGCACTGATTTGGAAAAATTGTTTCTCATTTACTCTGAAAACAAGGAAATTTCAAACTTAGGGCAAACACACTTTAAAATACTTAGAGATAAAAATATTGAAAGTCAATTGCTCAAACATCCAAGAAAAATAAATTAGCACAAATTCTCCAAAACATATTTGAAAAGATATTTTTATGCATACAAGGGTTATCAAAATAGAGATGTTGGCAAACTATTTTTATTTCAGTTCATAAACAACATTTGAGATCTGAGTTCTGCATTCTGATATTCCTGTGGTCTTTCGCTCTTTCTAATGACAGTACAAGAAACCACAGGTCATCTTGTTAAAATAATAATAATGAAAAAAATACTAGGATGTTGTAAAAAAAACCTTGAATTATGTATGGCTCTACTGAGAAGAGCTAATAAATAGGTGAGAATGATTTGTGACTAGTATAGCAATTGTTTGTAAATGGAAGGGTGTGTTTTGAGGTTACTTGACAACAAATTGTTCTCAGGAGGAACTTTAAGCACCCTTTGGTCTGAAATATAATCTCATTTGTATTAGGTGGAGGTTGGCCAAACTCAATCTCACTAACAGAAGTGGTTTCCAGTGTCACCAACAAAAGGCTCTCATATTTATTTTCAAAATAGAAAAGCCAAACTCAATTTGTGATACTTTACAGGACTGATAATGTTTACCTTACTCCTTCACTAGCCTACTTCTTTTAGTTCTAGAATTACAGGCTCTCAGCATTGGAATGAGTCTGAAAGCTTTTCTAGTCCAATTGCCTATCTGATGCATGAATGACATTTACATAATTCTGCCAAGTTGTCAAGTTGCCTGTGCTTGAATACAACCCTACCAGGGAACTCACTCCTACCTGAAGCAGCCAATTAGAGAGACTTTTAGAAAACTGAGCCATAAATTGTATCTATCAGTCTACTCTATTCTTTGAGTCTACACAGTAAAAGCAGGTACAACTGTCTCAGGACATGCCTTCAGATATTGAAAATGACCATCAAATCTTTCTTCCTGGCTCCAGGCTAAAAAGTCCTAATTCTATAGATTATCCTATATAATCTACCATATTTGGTAATATTTTTCATATATTCAGTTTTTCTAGGCTCTCCCTGACGTGTCCTTCATATTTAATACAATACTTAAGTGGAGCTCTTACATTCACCAAGTGGAGAGGTTCCATGACTTGCTTAGTCTTAGACACCAAACTTCTGTTAATTCAGCCGGAAGTCAGAGTCTCTTTGGGAAGCATATCGCTGTGCTGATTGTTACAGAGCCTACAACATCAGTGCAAGGAAACTCACATTGAGTACCTACTATGGACCAGGCCCTGTGCCAGCTATTTAAAGACCAGGATTTTAGCCACATTGATCTGATACCAAAGCCCATGTTTGTTCCCATTTTTCTTCTCCAATTAAGTCTTTCTCCTGTGCTTTGCTAAGCCATAGTTTTCAAAGGACATATGACCTATAATTATAGCAACAATAAAGGCCATTCTTTTTCGAGGGCTGAGTATAAAACATTAATGAGTCATGTGTAGCTCCAAGGCTCTGGATTGGTCACTTTTGGTACAAAGTTCGCTGTAGCCCAAATAATGTAAAAGTACACTGGAGCCTATTCCCTTTCCAGATGACCAAATTAATAAATCAGTGACATCCAAATGAATGCTATTTTATTAACATGCTTGGAACATACTAGTGCTGGATTATTCTTCCTAAAATTTTGCTTTGTGCTTCCTTTGAATGGCTTCCCATTGCCCAAACTCCATCTTCCGTCATTCAAATCCTCTGCAAGGTCAGTCTCCTATTTCCCCTCCAATCCAGTCTCCCCTTACTCTTCCAGGCTGTATGAAGAGAGACACAGGTGAGTGTGGAAGGAAGTCGGACAGGAAGTGGAATCATGTTAGGGTGGAGAAATACATAAGGGAAAGTCAGGGTGTTGGCCTTGGTCCTGCTCTCCTCAATTTGTTGTTGGGAAGGGACTTGTCTTCTCCAGGGGTCATTTCTTAGAACTGTGAAACAGCTTAGGGAGGGTCTTATTGGGGGAAAAGACACTCATGGGGTAGACTTTTTGGGCTGAGGAAATCATGAGCTGCTTACATACTATCCCTGAATGTCTAGAATGATTGATTAGTCCAGCTCCCCTTTGCAAGAAGTGAATGCCATCTTGGGTACTGAGAAGTGATCCACTAGACCATTAAGGGGACACTCCTGAGTGTGCACTGCATGTGTCAATTTACTTATCCAAAGGCCTGTGTGGGGGCTCATGAGTCTTTGGAACAGATGGGAATTTCTAGGTGCCCATGCGATATTTGCCTTTTGTACCCCAAAGTGTATAATTATGTCTTGGAGTGTACATGCTGCCTTGGCATCTATGTTGCAGGTTTCTGCAAGTCAAGGACTAGCTATTCTTTGAGCTCCTAACACTTTGCCCACAGATCTATTTAAATGCATGTTGGTCTTGATCTTTGGCTCCATTTTCCACCAGCAACCTACTTCCCTATACTTCTTTCCTTAATGAAGAGGCCCACATGCTTATAGCTGCTGGTATGAATCATCTATCCCAAAGATAGATACCTATTTTGATTGATGGACTGTTTTGATGGCCTTGGAAAAGAAATAGAAGAAAAACATCTTCTCTTATTTCTACTTTTTCTGAAGAGCACACAAATTTTTAAAATTATTTTGAAAGGCAAGAATGCCACTCAGCACAGGCTACACAAGGCTAGTGAAATTCAAGAAATTTTGACAAGGGCAGCCGTGCCAACTCTGTTTACCTAGATGGTCATATGACTACAAACCCAGATTTGATTTGTGTTTTCCCAAGTTATTTCAAAACAATTAGTAACAGAATTGAGCTGACTTACAAAACAGACACAGGAAGTTGCCTAGGACAGAACTCTGCAGATAGTTCTGTGATATGGTCCCTGCTTTCCTTTTGCAGCCTTTCTTAGCTGTAGCCACTGTAGCCTCTACCTCAGAGCTCCAGAACACCCCCTCAGACCCCGTCCTACCAAGGCAGTTTGTGCCCCCTCAGCCTTGGCTGGCCACATTGAGATTAGCTGGGCTTCCATAGCCTAAGTTTCCAGTATCCTGGAGTAAATTCAGGCCATGACAGTGTTCCCCAAGTCACAGCTTTTCTGTAGTTACCTAAATTCTTTTTCTTTTTAAGATGAAAGATGTTTATTTCCCGAATGAGTAGCGATAGGAAGCTAACATCAAAACTACATCAGTATTACGTTTAAATTAAATATTAACTTGTAAATAAAACTCCAAAATGTAGCAGATAAAGAAGGCTTTTTCAACTGGTCCCAACTGTTTTGTCTCTGACATTCTCTCCTATTGCACAACCCAACCAATTACAGCCACATTGGCCCAAAACATGCCTTCATCTAGGCCATACCCTTAGCAAATCTCTACTCTTTCTGCATGACCCAGTTGACTTATCATTTCTTCTGTGAATCCTTCTTTGATTCCCCAGACCTCCACTTCATGGTATTACTAGACATTGGTTGTTTTTTTGTTAAAGCTCTTATCACATTAGATTGCAAATCCTTGGAGTACTTGTCTGTTTTTCATGTATTGTATCTTTATGTTCCTTGGACTTAGAAAATTTAGGGACTAGATTCTATGCCAGCCTCTATGGTTCTGCCTGGTGTCCAGCTTTGTGCTGTAGACCCTAACGGAGGAGAGGCCTGCCCTGAATCTTGATCTAGTTGAATGGGCTATTTCTAGGCCCCTTCTCCAGGTCTGTGCCCTTGACAAAGGTCTGCTCCTAGTGGAGTTGGGGCTGTTATAAAGAGGACTTTGACTACTGTCCTACCTGGGATCACTGGTTGTAGTTTCTCAGCTGGCAGATTTTTTTCCTCTTAAATCATGCACAAGCCCTCCATGCTTCTTGGATGTGCATATTGGATTGTTGGCCCTTTTCTTTCTCTTTGGAGGCCTATCCTCCAATGACTGTATCCCCTTATCTAATCCTACCACATTCTGGCTTTCTTCCTCTCCTACCAGCAGGTGCCATTATGATTTCAGGATGACCCTTAATTAAGTCTATTTATTCATTCATTCAGTCACCAGCTATCTACTAACTACTATGCACAGGCATTGTGCCAGGTGCTGGGCTGCAATGGTGAACAAGACACAGTCTTTGTTTTTCCTCAAGGAGCATATGGGCTACACTGAGCATGAGAGACAATTGCTCTTCCCAGCGTCTCTGCTTTCTTTTTTTCATTTTAAAGATTTTATTGTGGAATTGGGGGAGGAGAACAGAGTTGGGGAATCGGGGAAGGGAAACAGACAAGTTGCTGTCCTTTTATTCTTCAGTCTAGTTGTGGAAGACGTCGCTTCACTGGCCCATGTTGGTATTGTGATCACTGCGCTCCTCCTGGGTGAGGCAGATCGGTTGCCGGCCACTCACGGTAGCTTATGGCAGCCCACTGCAGCCTACACTGTTGCCGGTGATTCATGGCAGCCCAGCTCCAGGTTGAGCTGTTGTTCACCATCTTAGCTGTAGAGGGCAGTGTCACTGGCCCATGTGAGATCTGAACCAGAGGTCCTGCTGCTCAGAGCTCGTGCTCCCAAGCTGACTCTTAACCAACAAGCCACTTGGCCGGCCTGTCTGCTTTCTTTACTCCAAGCCTCCAGTTGTTTCCAAACTCATAACCTACCTCTCTCTGTATGGCAGCTGGAGGCCTACTTTCTTGTGTAAAATTGAGAGCCATGAAGTGTTAAAAACAATACTGATGTTAACTGGGCTCTCTCTTCCTGAAACAATGAACAAGTCTGTGGCACAGCAGGCCTTAGTGTGAGAGGAGGAAATGAAGGACCACTTGGACTATGGAAAAGAGCATTTGGAGAGAAAGTTTTGTAGTCTTTGTCTGACAACACAAAAGGGACAATGTCCCTAGTCATATGGGCTAAAATTATTATTTTAGGCTAACTCCTATTTTTATACCAGAAAATATGGTCCAACAGAAAGAGCATAAAAGATAGGGTTCTGATTTTAAAATCTTGGGATTCTTAAATGAATGGGATTGGGAGTGAATCGAGAAAGTAAATAATTTTTCTTCAGTAGATTTTAACGATTTTTTTTTAACTTTGAAGGACAATTAGTATCGGGCAAGGTGAGTCCTGTGTGTTTAAGATTTACCTGGAAAACTTATTAAAATGCAGAATCCTGGGCTCCCTACTCCAAAATTCTGATTCTTTAGGATTTCTCAAATCCTTGCTGCTATTGATATTTTGGACTGAATAATTCTTTGTAGTGTCGGGGAAGGCCTGTCCTGTGCATTGTTTCTCTCTCTCTCTCTCTCTCTCTCTC